TAGAGTGTTGTTCACGTTGTTCTTTTGCTGATTCTATGTGCATGGGTAGGTTGCTGTTCACCCGGTAGTACTTCGCTGTTCAACCCCCGGGGTAGGGTGCCGTTCACATTGTTCTTTTGCTGTTTTATGTGCATGGGTAGGTTGCTGCTCACCCGGTAGTACTTCGCTGTTCAACCCCCGGGGTAGGGTGCTGTTCACACTGTTGTTTTGCTGTTCTATGTGCATGGGTAGGTTGCTGTTCACCCGATAGTACTTCGTTGTTCAACCCCCGGGGTAGGGTGCTGTTCACACTGTTCTTTTGCTGTTCTATGTGCATGGGTAGGTTGCTGTCCACACGGTAGTACTTCGCTGTTCAAACCCCGGGGTAGGGTGCTGTTCACACTGTTCTTTTGCGGTTTTATGTGCATGGGTAGGTTGCTGTTTACCCGATAGTACTTCGCTGTTCAACCCCCAGGGTAGAGTGTTGTTCACATTGTTCTTTTGTTGTTCTATGTGCATGGGTAGGTTGCTGTTCCCCCCGGTAGTACTTCACTGTTCAACCCCCGGGGTAAGGTGCTGTTCACATTGTTCCCTTGCTGTCCTGTGTGCGTGGGTAGGTTGCTGTTCACCAGGTGGTGCTTCGCTGTTCAATCTCCGGGTAGGGTGTTAATCACATTGCCGTTTTGCGGCTCTAGTTGCTTGGGAAAGTGTCCACGGATCACTTCTTGTTGCTTCCTCTCTTGGGAATCTACGGTTCTGAAAAGACTGCCTTGACTATGGCAAGGGGGGGGCACGTGCGGCCAAGACCAACGACCTACGAGAAAGACATAAGGGGTAGGGAGTTGGGCGGTAGAATAGGATCGGTCACGGACCACGGGACAAGCGMGCCATCAYCTACACCCATCCACCATAGCCGGACACCCCGACCCTTCTTCAACCTCCATCACCTACACCCATCCACCATAGCCGAACACCCCAACCCTTCTTCAACTTCCATCACCTACACCCATCCACCATAGCCAGACGGCCCAACTCTTCTTCAACCTCCATCACCTACACCCATCCACCATAGCCGGACACCCAACCCTTCTTCAACCTCCATCACCTACACCCATCCACCATAGCCGGACACCCCGACCCTTCTTCAACCTCCATCACCTACACCCATCCACCATTGCCGAACACCCCAACCCTTCTTCAACCCCCATCACCTACACTCATCCACCATAGCCGGACGCCCCAACTCTTCTTCAACCTCCATCACCTACACCCATCCACCATAGCCGGACACCCCAACCCCTCTACAACCTCTATCACCTACACCCATCCGCCATAGCCGGACGCCCCAACCCTTCTTCAACCTCCATCACCTACACCCATCCA